AAAAGAAATAAAATAAAATTTAATAAATAAAAAGAAATAAAATAAAAAAATGTTTTAGCTCGGTTCGATATCATCAATAAAATGGTCACCACATAAAGAATTAATAGGAACAACATCAAATGATGGTTTACTTTCATTATGGAATTATCGTTTAAAAGAATTAATTATATCAATACATTCACATAAAGCTCCAGCTACTGATTTAGCTTTTTCTCCTCATCATGATGCTTTTCTTGTTACATCAGGAATGGATGGATCATTATGTTGTTTCGATGTTGTACAACAAAAGTAAAATTCTTTTATTTTTATTATTTTATTCTAAACAAAAATAAAACATTTCAATAAAAACGAATTAAAGGATTTTATCAACAATAAGTATCTATGCTCCATTAACAAGTGTTGATTTTCATCCAAATGGTTCATTAGTTGCTGTTGGAACAATGGGTCAACATGCATCTATTTATGATTTACGTGATCCAAAAAATAAATTATCACATTTAGTTAATTCGGAACATGGAAATGTTTATTCTGTTAAATTTGAAACAGGACAAACAACAAATATTCAAAGACCAACAACACTTTTACAAGAGGTTTTTATTTATTTATTTAAATAAAATTAATTTTCGAATAAATTAATTCTAGACAAATAAAAGTTTGAGTACATTTGCACAACAAACAACACGTTCTCGTCATACATCATCATCATCATCATCATCAACAACTCAATGTTCAACACCTGTTGATGAACAAATATCAATAAATCGTTCATATGGTACACAACCTCGAACAACACAAACACGTGAAAGATCAAATTCATCTCTTTCATCAAAAGTTAATACACCATTTATTACAACTGAATATTCAAATACTATTGATACAAGTATGTTTACATTTTCAATTTATTTACATTGATTAATCATCAACAATAATTTTCATATTTTCAAAAAAAAAAGAAAAACAAAAATCAAATAAATTATTTCGATAAACTATATTATTAATTATTTTCTAATTTATAATAATCTAGTGAATATTTTATTGATATATAACTTCGAATATATTGAATATTTAAGAGTAAAATAGAGATATTTGACCTTGTTAGAGTGATTTGATAAGTGCACTCATATCAATATTGAAAATAAAGGTAAAACTGTTTATATTGTTTGTTAACAAATAAAAAAAAAGTAAAGAAGTTATTTATTTAATAGAAGAAAGATAAATATGATTGATTGAAATAAAAATCTCATTCTCAAGTTAAATATTTTAATTTAATCCTGATTTATCAATATTTATTTATCTAATCAATGAATATAAACAAATGAGTATAATCAGAAATCGAAGGATTAATCTATAAAATGAACTGATTTAAATAATAAAATCTCTTCTCAATATTTTAGACTCAGATTTTTTTAATTATATCCAAATATAGAAATATTTAATAGAACTTTTCTGTATTCTCTTCAATTGTTTATAAATGAATTCGATTTTGAATAAATAATTATTTATTTTTGTTTATTTTTTGTTAAGGTTTATCATGTTCGCGACAAGGTAGGTATTCTGTTTATATTGATAAAATAATTGAAGATATTTCTATCTATATAGAAGGTAATCATCCTGGTGAAGATAAAGTAAATATATAAATAATAATAAATAATTATTTTATTTATTATTTTAGTCAATATCACGAGTAAGTAATAATGATTGTATGAGTTTTGAAGAATTTACAAAATTATGTGGAGTTTATAATCGTTCACCAATTGAAAATGGTCATTGTATGTATTTATATTATTTTTAAAATAATTTAAATAAATATAATTTAAATTAGATCGAACAAATGTTAATTCAAATGATCAAGATGAATCACTTAAAATAATATTAGATAATCGAGTTAATTCTTTACGTGAAGATTTAAAAGATGATCTTAATAGAACAAAATTATCAATGCAAATGAATTTTATTCTTGAATTAGAACGACTTAGAGTAAATTTTTTTTTTTTTGTAAAAATAAATTTAAAAAAAAAAATTTTAGAATGATTTAATGAAACAAATTGAATCTCATTCATTAAATGCTCAATTAATCGATGAAATTGAACGTCTTAGAGATGAAAATAAACGATTACGTCAATTACAACCTCGAATTTAATTAAACAAATAAAAGAATATTTTATTCCGATTCAAACAAATATTCTTTATTACGAAAATATTCATTTTTTTTTTCTCTTTATTGTATATATATATATATATCATAGAAGAATAAAACAAAACAAATCATATTTTTTAAAACAAATTAAAAAAAGTAAAAAAAAAAAATGTAAGATAAATTGTTTGTTATAGATAATGGATATGGAAACATATGTACCGGAAGAACATATAATTCAATCGGAAAAAGATGAGAATTTAATAAATGAACAAGAAGATATTGAATTAGTTGATAAATCATTTAAATCAATAACTAGTTATGATAGATTTTTAAAATCTGAATCAATACCAAAACGAAGACATCCTCAACCATCTCAATTACCTGATACAATAACTATTCTTAAAGATGAAACAACTAATGGAATTGTTTATCTTGTTGGAACAGCACATTTTAGGTTTTTTATTCATTTACTTTGCCTTTTTTTAAACAATTTTTATTTATTTTTAGTGAAAAAAGTCAACGTGAAGTAGCAGAAGTATGGCTTTTTTTTATTTTTTTTTTAAATAAAATAATTTAAAATTCTAAAAGATAATTCAAATGACTCAACCAGATATTGTTATGGTTGAATTATGTCAAAGTCGTGTAAGTTTATCTCTTTTTTTGTTTTCTTTTAAATATTTTTATTATATTATATTATAAATAGGTTAATATACTTTCATTAGATGAAAATACATTAATAAAAGAAGCATCAGAAATCAATTTACAAAAACTTCGAACCATAATTAAAGCTGTAATATATATTTATCTTATTTGTCAAAATATACCGCCGGATAAGATCGTAAATCTGCTATCCGCTTAGCTTTTACTGACAATATTTTACTAAATATAGACCATCTCATTTTTCACATTTATAGAAAGTTTTTTTATTTTTATCTTTCAATGCAAAAAAAAAAACACAATATAATCGACGACTATATTCTCTTAAATATTCTATCACTTTTCACTCTTTATTATAATAACTATGATAAAGGTCAGTTTTATTTTGAAAACTCAATATGAAAACTATTTATAGAAATCGACACAGTTTTTCATGTTCTACCAAATGACATACTGATTAGTTTATATGCAGGATTAAATATTTTATCCTGCATAAACTAATCGATGAAGATGATTACTATGTCATTTTCTAGAGCATGAAATCATTTCCTTGATCTATAGTATTACTTTTCATATTAACTTTATAATAGTAAAATAATAAAGACGATAATTATTATTCGAAATGGTCAGAAGTGGTATAGATTACCCACCCTAAGGGAATTTAGTCCACGATAATTTGTTTTTTTTGCCTTTTTCAAAAAACGACATGAATAGAAAGAAATGTTTAGAAGTTGATGGTCTATCTTTCTATTCAACTGAAATTAATAAATTAAGGATCGGTAGATTTCCGATATTATCCGTCAATATCGTTTATTTAAAAAGTAATTATTATTTTAGAATGGAGCTATTCATGGAATAATTCATGTACTTCTATTAAGTATGACAGCTCATTTAACTAAACAATTAGGAATGGCACCAGGTGGAGAATTTCGAACAGCTTTTCGTGAAGTAAAAAAAAAAAAGATTTTTCTTCTTTTGACATTTGATAAATATTTATAATGAAAAAGCTAGGCTCAAAAAGTACCCGGTTGTAATCTTGTACTTGGTGATCGTCCAGTTGGTATAACATTAAAACGAGCGATTAATTCTTTATCAACATGGAAAAAAATTCGTTTAGCTTGGTCATTATTAACATCTAAAGATAAAATAACGTTTGTTTATTTAATAAATAAAAAAAAAAGTGAATCTATTTATAATGTTTATATAGAAATGAAGATGTTGAAAAATGTATGGAACAAGATGTACTTGAAAAATTATTATTAGAAATGAGTGATCAATATCCTGAATTATCTCGTGTATTTGTTAGTGAACGTGATCAATTTTTATCATATTCATTAAGAAAATGTGCACAAAAAATTCCTATTGAAACAAATCAAACTGGTTTTGTTCCATCAACAGTTGTTGGTGTTGTTGGTATTGGTCATGTACAAGGTATTATTAAACAATGGAATCAACCAACTATTAATGATATTCAACATTTAATGAAATTGTTAAGTTTAATTACAAAAAAAAAAATTTTAATCTTTTTCTTTTTTTTTTTTAATTTGAATAAATTTTATTTGTTTAGAACAATTGATGATAAACCAAAAAAGGGTTGGTCAACTTCAAATTATCTAAAATTATCATTTAAATTAGCATGTCTTGGAGCAGTTGTTGCTGCTATTTTGCAATATACTCGTTATCGACTCCGTTGAATTTTAAATTTCTTTTTTTCTTGCTTATTTTTCTTTTCGTTTTCATTGATCGTTATTTTTTTTTTTTTTTCAAAAATATTAATAAACAGATAAAAACATCTTATTTATAATAACAATATCAAATAATATTTATTTATATCTCATGAGAATGTTTACATGTTCACTTATTCCTTTTATTATTATTTAATTAATACTATTTTTTAACATTCAATTAACAATTTTCTTTAACCAAATAATTAAAATCAATTTTTTAACTTTTATTTTTATAAAATTAAAACAAAAGAATATTTTTCAATTATTAGTATTTCGTATTTTATCTTATTTTCTTTCTTTTTTTATATTAAATTCAACAAATAAACATTTTCATCAGATATTAATTGAACTATTCAACAATAATAAATTATTCAATTTTTATTGTTTTTATTTCGTATTGATAGAAAAAGATATTTGAGAAAATAAAATAAAAGTAACTTCACTTTACATTGATAGATAAAATGGTGAGAAGATAATTATCTCTATCGTCAACTTGATTGACTTTCAAAAGATTTTTTCCGAAATATTTCAAATAAATATGATTAAATCATAGAATCACTATCAAATAAATAATCAGCTATATTCTTTAATATTATTTAAGGGTAAGTCACTTTTAGACAACTATTTTTCTCATTAACAGATTTACCCAATCTTAATTATAACATACAAATAAACAAACATCTTCAACCTAGAAGATTTATCTGAAAATATTTATTTATCTCAGGTTAAAATATAATTTAAATCTTTCTTCATAGAATAAATTTTAGTTGACGTAGATAAATCTTAGGAAATGTCCTTATATAACTATGGGAAAATATTCATTTTATTGGCAATACGAAAAAAAAAAAGAGAAATGACTTATTTATGAAAGTCGAAGTAATCTGAGAGTTGTTTTACTATTGTTGCAATGATAGAACTTGTCAATGGTTAGAAAATGAATATGAAATCTCTCGATTAACAAAAATCTTCAATGAATAAAATTGCGTAGAGTTTTAAATATATTTATTCTTCTAATGAATATATATTCATTTTACTCCTATTTAAATAATTCATTTATTTACTTTTGTTTAATCTATGCCTTAATTACTTTATTATCGAATATACTCGAAATTATTTCGAAAAAGTGTTAGTGTAATCCTTGTTGGATAAATATGTGAAAAAACGGATATAGCTACTCTTTATAATTCCAGATTGATTTATTTATTCTATGGATTTTCGGAAAGATTTCTTTATCATCTTTTTACTTAATCTTACACAAATCCAATGACCAATTTGTTAGGGTATTAGAATAATACATTATTTCTATACTGTCTTTGAGAGTATATCAACAATATTTGTCAAGACTTGTCATGGACTCAAGATTTTATTTTATTTTTATATTCGTTTTCATGATGAATGAGTAACAATCGAAGATAAGAGTTCTACAGTCTAGAAAGCAATATAATATGTTAGAGATATGAAAATAAATCGAGATGATCAGATGAGAGTGTAAAAGTGTAAAAATAAAAATATTGATTAAACTTTTTATAGTTGATCGTCTATCTGATATTTATTTATTTCATATTACCATCAATAAACGTACTAAATGAGAACTATTTTAATAAAAACAAATTTTTATAGTTCTTGAATTTATTTCTAAATCGAAACGATTAAGACGTACCATCTTTATTATAGATATTGATCTTATTAAGATAATCCATAATAAAAAATATCTATCTCTCAATTAACCAGATCTCAATCAATAATATATTTCCAAACAATCATCGATTTTATTTCTTTATACCAATATCAAATGACATTTATAAAACATATGATTTTTTTTTTCTTATTGAAAATCTTTTTTCGTAAGTAGAAATTTATAATAAAATGATTTTACTTTTATGTTAATTGAATTATCTATTGATGAAATCGAAATGTTATCAAGGTTAACTTAATGTCTAGTCAATTATTTTTATTGAATATTTTCTTTTTTATTGTTAAACAAATAATTTATTCTTAGAAATTTTAACTGATAGTTGATGATTAGTTCATCGGATAATTATTGATTCATATTTTCACTATTTAATCAGTCCTGTGAGATCGTTCCTATATTAACTGAAAGATAAATGATTAGTTTTTTTATAAAATATACTTCTCTACGAAATATGTCACTCAGTTCGATTAGAATTCATAGAATAATCTATTCAGATTTTAAAAGATAAATAATATTGATTCTATTTAAATCTGATCATCGAATCGATGCAAGATGAGAAAATGCCGACCACCAAGAAAATGAGACTGTAAAAGGCCGCAAATGATATTAAATGAGGGAAAAATCATCCGAAAACTGAACGACGTCTGTCCGCGTAACGCGACACTTCGCTGATCAAGTTTTGAAAAAATTTTTTTTCGAGTTGGACAGATCTCATTGGACTATTAGATGCAGTTTTTTACGCTGATTACGAATTTGATATTGATTTAGCATAAAAATCAGATTTTGATATCAAAAATCGGATTTTAAAATTTTCAAAAACCGTATTTTGGATTTTTTAACCAAGAAATTTTTTCAACAAGGGCTAAGAGACATACCATTCGATGCAGAATTAAATTCTCTACAAAATGGTCTATTTAGTTTTGACTTTGGTAGCTTAGAATGGATTGAAAGCTTCGATAAGGTTTCCAACTTCCTGCCCAGTTTATAAGCTCTCAGATCGATGTATCAATCTCATTTTTTCAGAGGAGATTGTCTACTTATAAAACAGTAACAATTATAAAAATCAAGTAATTCCGAGTACACTAAGTGCCTCAAAATTGGTCAACAAAAAACTGTGTAACAGTGTTACGAAAAACGTAACAGCGTTACGTTTGTTTTTTGCATTTTTTATTTGAACAAAAATGTTTTAGAGAAAATCTTTTTTACTGCCTGAAAGTCTATTCAATGCTCTACAAAAGTGATTCTTGGAGCATTACATTTGAAGAAATGATTTCGCAAGAAATTAGAGTTTTCTCAGTGGCACTGGAAAAAAAGGGTCCTTTTATGTAACAGCGTTACGCCCTGATAAAACATTTCTAGATGCCTGAGACTTCAATCAAAAAAGGTCATTTTTATATGATAAATGAAGTTCGATAAGCTGCGTCGAATGACGTTTGAACGAACTTCCTAGCTCTTAAACTTTTCGAGAAAGTTGGAGAAGAGTATATCAAAAACGTAACAGCGTTACGTTTGGACAAGCCGATAAACCCTAATGCGGATAAATACGGTTAAACTCATGTGACTTAAAATAAAGAATAGATGAAGAGAGATTTTCAATTTATTTTATTTTATTTCATTCTATTAATGTGAACTGAGAGATTTTCTATGGTTTCGAAAATTTTCATAAGTAAGACATAATAGAAGAATATTATGTCGAAAGAATAATAAAAATGATTATTTACAATGAAATTTTCTTCGTAAATAATTCAATGTATTAAATATGAAATTAGTATATTCGATATATTGATGATTTTGTTTATAGAATATATCAACTACTAATTCAAATCTCGATCAATAGATAAATAATCTGATCAATCATCGTAGGATAGTATAGAATTAATTGGCTGATAATTCTATTATGAAATAGATATAAATAATATAAACAAGAATAAAATTTAAATTTTTCCTAAAGGTATCAGTATTGATCGCAATATGTTTTATGTTGTTTGTTGTCTTTATCTAAAATAAACTTTTCTTATTAAAATATGAGACTTTGTTTTTTTTTCTGTATTCATTGTTTTGTCTTCTACTAAATTTGCTAATAAAAAGAAAAAAGATTTTGGTGATAAAAAAAAGTGTTTATTTATTGTAAATTGTATATATAAATGAATAAAAAAAAAAAAAAGAAAGATGGAATAAATAATTTAAATTTGATTAATATGATGATGATGAATATTTTTTTTTTGAATAGCCAACATATGTAAAGTCATAGTTGATTGTTGTAAACGATTATTATTATATTTTAATAAATTAGTTTGACAAAAAAAAAGAAATAATTTATTTCGAATTCTTTTTTGATAAATTAATATAAATCTAAACCAAATTAATATTAAAAAAAACATCGATGAACTAACTAAACTAAATATAATTATTTTAAATGTTGACCAATTAATATCTTCATTTATAAATATTCCAAATATAGATGATAAAAAAATCCAAAAAATAATTATTGTTAATACAAATAATGTTGAATATTGACGTGTTAATAAACCAAATTGTAATTTATGTAATATATCAATTAAATAACGTATTAATATTAAAACAAGTATTGAAAAAATTAATGTTAAAAAAAGCCAAACAAGAAGATTTTGACGTAATAATGATAATGCTTGAGAACTATTTGTTTGAAATTTTGATTCAATATTATCAAGAATTGTTAATGTTGTATTTTTAAATTTAATTATTGATGGATCAATTTGTAATATTATTTGTTTAACAGCATCATCAACAACTTTAACTATATCTGATATTGTACCACCCATCACTTTTCAAACACTTTTAGATACTTTTTATTCGATTTTAGACAATGACCTCAAACAATAAACTATTTTATACCAGTTTTTTCTCTCTCTCTCTCTCTCTCTTTCTCTTTTCTTTCGTTTTCTTTTTTTGTTTCTATAGTTAGTCTCTTCTATTCAGCTGACTGATAATCTCAGAGGCATTCCTCTTTCCAATGAAAAAAAGAAAAAAAAAAATCGACAGACATTTTTTCTTCTCTATCGGTCAACAGATTCATATTCTTCATATTCTTTTCTTTTTTTTTCTCTCTCTCTTCTTCGATATATCTCGAAAGAAAAACGTTCATTTCTATTGAGATAACCATTGATAATCACCACTCATTTATTAACACTTACAGATAAGAAGAAGATTTTATTTTAGAAAAATAAAATAAAATGATTTGTTTTTTTATTAATGAAAATTCTTGAAAGAATAAACTTTGCTTTAAAATCCATTCCTTACATATTTGTCAAATAAAAAAAAAAAAAACAAATTTTATTATCTTGGTAAAAAAAAATTTAATAAAGATAAATTGAATGAATTTTTAACATATTTTCATCTATTGATAAAGAGCATATTCTATATTAATTCTTATCTCGAATATTCTTTCCTATATTCATTCTTTATTTAAATATTTTCTCTTTTCAATCAACATTATTTTAAATAGTCTAACAGAATTTTATCAAATTTAGAAGTATTTATTCGATTTAAATCTTGAAAAAAGATAAATCTAATAAAATAACCTTTTTATCTTAATAATTGAGATTATTTAAATAAAGTTAACAATTATCAATATATGAAAAATATTTTTTAAATTATCTCTTAAATAGTTTTAGATTTAAAATGATCTATATGCAATTATTAATCGAAAGATTTATATGAAATTAAACTCTTATCACTATATAAGATTATCCTCGGATAAACGATATGTCGGACCTTATAGAAGAGTTAGTTTTATTTATTTATTTATTTATCGATATAATCCTAAAAATCTATTTTGGATTCTTAAAAAAATGATCTTAATTAAAAATGAGGGTCTCATGAAAACATTTTTGTGCTTGAACAAAATAGAAGAGTCTTAATCTTCTATTGCGGGAAAAGAATTTATTTCTCACATTCGTGAGAGATTTACTTAACATTAAAAATAAAATTTTTATTTTTGTTACATTCGAAGAATCTATTAAAAAGAGTCTCCATTGATTGATTTATTAGAATTATCTTTTCTCAAAATTGGATCAATATTCAGACTGACTGGAAAAGATATTTACCAAATAAATTAGACATGAATATTTTCTTTCTAGGAAACTCGATTAATTATAGATTTATAATAGACGAATTCTTAGCAAATTCTATAGAACATATTAGAGATTCGAACAAAATTCGAGAAATTTCAAAGATTTCTTAAAGATTCATATGGATAAATCTGGTTAATAAACTTTAGTAATATAGAAACTTACTCTCAAAACAAAAGCAAGAATTTTCAATAATAAGGGATACTTATTTGAGATGTATTTAGATAAAAAAACTATAACAATTTCGAATAATTTGCGAAAATTGTGAGTAGTTTAGGAAAATTCATTGGAAATTGAGAATAGAGAGCATAGAAATTTTCAGTAAAATAGTCAAATATATTTATGATAACTATTTAGAAATTTGAATTATTTCAAAAACTAAAAAATAGATATTTAAATTTGTCGATTATTTCTAAAATCTAATATTCGATTTGTTAGAATTTATTTTTTTTATGGTTGAGTCATTTCTGAAGTTTCCAAGAAAATTTTTTCTTATTATTTTGGTAATTATGAAAATCTTCTAGAAAATAATATTCTCATCTATTGACTATTTTGTATATGTAAACATACCGGATATATTGTTATGCCATATTTTTCATTCGGATAGATGCACTAGACGATTCTCTTTGAAACTGTTGTTTATCTTTCTAAACAATTATTTACCGTTTGGTGCGCATGTTTCATAGAGCCGTATGATGAGTAAGATTTCCTGTCGAAGTATTATTGTTCAGTTTTAGATTTAACTTTGAATAGTTGAATAGAGAAGAAAATAAACTTTTCGAAACGATCAACTTTGAAAGATGAAAAACTGTTGAATGATGATTATCTTCCATTTTTCAAAGTTAGTCTATGATGAAGGAGAGACGCTGTTAAGAATATGTTTGACTTCTATGAAAGAAGGATAGAAGAAATTTCTATCTGAATAGTTGAAGACTTGTTTTAGATAATCTTTGAAAAAAATAGTCGAGAATTGTCCTTCGAAAATTTTCTCTTTTGTTAATTGAAGAATGTCATTTTCTAGTAGAACATTTACCATTTTTATATCGAATTGTTTCATTTAATAAATTTTTTTGAAAATCTTTTCTTGTTTATTGGAATTTATCTTTATCGGAAATATTTTCATTTATTAACTAGAATATATTAACAAATTTAATAAAACAAATTAATTTATATTGATTAAAACATAATTATATAATAGATTATTTTAAATAAATCATTCGAAAAACTACCAAAATAAGGATGATCAATCCTTGTTGTTATATATAGAAATATTTCTTGAGATAATCGATATTCGATCAACATATATGATTCACTAGTAGACTTTTTCTACTTTCGAATAGAAAAATCTTAGTTCTTTTTAAGATAAAATATGCATCTTTTACAAATTTGTTTTTTCTAAAAAATTCTTAATCCGAAGAGCAATTTGTGAGTTTCAATTATAAAAGTGTTTTTGGTTGTTCGATAAATTTTCAAGATGGAGAAGATGACAATCAACATAGATCAGTAGTCATGTCTAACATATATCGGATTTATTTCAAATAAATATTCTTCCATGCCCTTATAACAAACAAAAAACGATTGATTTTCAATCTCAAAAACAATTTTCTATTTTTCTCCGAATCGATTTTGATGTGTTTTTTTTCAATTCTTTTATAAAAGCATTCTCGCCCGTCTGATATTCTAAAAAGGTCTGAAAGGTTTCAAATTGAAGAAGAAATAGCATTCTACAACCTAACAGGATCGGATTTTTTATTTTTAACTTAGTTTAAAAAAAAAACGATTTTTTTGTTTTGTAGAGACAAGATAATTATTGGAATTTTTTCAGAAAATATTTGATAAAAATTAAAGGAAAAAAAGGTTTTTCAATTTGAATTTACTAAATTTTAACGATAGATGTTGACTAGATTTTAAAGCCAATCGAAAATCTCTCTTATTAGTTTTCGATCAGAAGTTCTTGTCTGACCAATTTATAATTGTTAAACGCCTAATCTTATCATAACTGATGAACAAGTAAATTCTTCTCACTGAAATTTTGACTATCAATTGTCAGAAGTTGGGCAAATATTCACGGAAATTTTGAGAGAGATCGATTGTTCTTTGACAAATATTGGTTTCTGACAGATTGATAAACATTTATATAATATTCATTTCAAATTATTTATATGAAATTTTTTCCCAAATATTTTGGTTAAATAAATTATTCCGAGAGCATCCATTTAATCAATACCTAACGAAGTTTATGAAAATATTTTATTTTTTAAAATGAATTTTCTAGTTTTAAAGAATATAAAAATTTATTTAGAAATTTAAATATTTACTATATTTGGATAATCTATTCTAATACTTCGATCATCTTATAGTTTTAAACCAAAATATTGCTTTATCACAAACTATCGGTTTTTTTCGATCGATTTTTTTTTATGAATTTTTTCTTTACAAATATTTAATCAAAACCATTGTGAAATAATATCAATCGATAGAATAAAAGGTATTCTACAAAATCCTATATTTCATATATCTCTTAACTTACCTCGTAAACCAGAATAATTCATTATAATAGGTAAAATCAAACGTTTTTTTATCTATTTTACATGCTTTGTTTTGCCTTTATTGCTTCTGTTATGCAGATTATTTTTAAGAGCTTAAACTAAATTTAATATAGTTCTGTAGAGCGTGAAAAGACGCATCGTTTGGTAAAAAAATATTGGTTATAAAGTGGTATCAAAGTTCCAAAAGATCCATGACAATGTGTGCACAGCGAAAATAAATCCTATAGAAGTGATTTTCCTAGACTCCCTATCGGACACATAGTGTCATACTTGACCAAAGAATATATGACATTTTTCGAGGAAACCATTTTCACCAGTTATCGATTCCTTCCTTTATATATCTAATTATCAAGAACACAAAGATTTTAGGGATCTGCTCAAATCTTCTTCTTGAATAATAATTGATTTTCGATCATAACTCGGTAATATCCTTCTTTTCAATCATTTTTATTATCTAAAAGCGAACAACTTTATATCTATTATAATCAATTATTCTCATTTACGAAGTAAGTAAAGAGATATATATGAAATATAGGATTTTGTAGAATAGCTTCCACTCTATCGATTGATATTATTTGAGAATGGTTTTGATCAAATATTTGTGACGAAAAAAATTCATAAACAAATATGATCGAAAAAAAGCGATAGTTTTTGAAAAAAGAATATTTTGGGTTAAAACTATAAGATGATCGAAGTATTAGAATAGATTATCCAAATATAATCAATATTTACATTTCTAAATAACTTTTTATCTTCTTTAAAACTAGAAAATTTATTTTAAAAACTAAAATATTTGATAAACTGTGTTAGGTAGTGATTTTGTGAACCATCTATTAAATATTTTAGTTCTAAAAAAGAAAAAAAAGCCAATAAAATGATTTGTTTTTATTTGTGATATTAACGAATAATAAAGTCGAGTATGGAATGAAATTATCAAATATGAATATTGGTTTTGTTTTTGTTGAGAGAGATTTTTATTGTTAATTTATTTTATTTTCTCATGAAATTGTCAAGATAAATAAATAAATCAATATATTAATTATATATTTTATTAAATAATCATTGAGAATTATTAATATCACAATAAATTTAATAACCAAAGAAAAAAAAAAAGTATCCATTTATCAAAGAAAAAAAGTTTAT